CTTTGTCTGAACTTCTCTTTACTTGCCCAGAGCTTTGTTGTGGCTTGTTTGGCTGTTAAAAGTTTTCTCATGACCAGGTGGCTATTGCCTGACTTGTTTTACTTTGTTTCTCAATCTACAGTTGCATGGTGTACATAGATACTATAGATCCTATAACAAGCAGGTTTTCTTGCTTGCGTAAAGCAACATATTTATGATTTTAGCACCATATAGCAGACGAATACCAGTCTGATACAAGCAGGGGCCTTGAAAACAAGTATGGGATGTGGTGTAGAGGACCAGACACATGAGATGGTTAGAGAAGGGGTGCACGATACTGGAGACCCTGAGAAGAAAAACAGCTCATAAATATTCTAACTGCTTTGTTACTGAAAGTTTGTAGTATTCTTTGTTCTTTTATTAATAATAGAGACTAATCATTCTTTGATCACAGTTAAGATTTCAAGCATACTAACAATGAACCTGGCTTTACTTATGAAGTATGTTTAGTTCTGCCCATAAGATGACCTGCAGGATGCTTGTGTTTGATTCCTCTGCCGTGGCAGTGGGTGATGCTATCACTGCTATCAGTGCCCACGCTCCTGCAACTGGAGGTGCCAGGATAATTTGGTATGTGTTGCAGGCTGAACGTAGCTTTAGTGTAGGTGCCTAGGCATGCAGGCTCAGGTGGAAAGAGTATGGAAACATGGCTTTGGAGACAGAGAGCTGAGGAAACAAAAGCAGTGCTTTAGTAGGTGAGGGGGGAGGGTGTTTGTTCCAGGAATATCTGAAGGGATGAGTGATCTCAGAGAGAGCTAAATCCTCCAGTGCTCAGTGTTCGCAGCTGGCAATGTTTCCTCAGCCTGAAGTCCTGCTTCTTATGGGTTACATAAGAGTGTGGTGTCACAACAGTCACTGTGTCCAGCAACTGTGACTTGGGTTTCCTTCTAAAAATACAGCCAAGTTTGGAAGTAATGTGGATGGCAGCATCAGGAATATGTCAGCTGCACTCTCAGCAAGCTAGCAAAGCACATCTGGGGAAGGTGCCATGTAAACGCAGCAAGTCTGTTCTTATCCAATACTCTTCTGTGAAATGCTTTTCTATTATTGCCTCTCCTGTTCTTTCCCTTAATAGCAGGTTGTAACGTGTTTGCAGTTTATTTGAACCAGGTTCAGCCCCTCCTCCATGAGGTGCCTAACAAAGCATTCCTCCTCCTTGATTCTTTGAGCTTTGCAAGCTGAAGAAGATGTTTAAAGGTGTAGGATCCATCAGGAGAAGCACTGTGTTGACAATGACAGAAGCTTCCTTGACTTCACAGGTTCTAACTGGCACAAGCTATTTTTAGTCTCAGTGGTGTAATGGGAACAATCTTTTACCTTAAAAAACACTACTTGCAATTCAGCTCCTACTGATTTCTCTAGGGACACTTTCTGTGTAGCAGGGGTTGCTCAGTGAGGAATACAGCACTTTGGCTCAGAATAGTGTAGCAGAAACAAGAATTATGTATTTCATTTATTTAGTGTTGTCTTCTCTGCTCTGCCGTAGGGAAGTCCACGACATTCACCATTATTCAGCTTTTTTAATAACACTCTCAACTGTACACTAAAATCTCATGAATGAAAATAGAGGAATTTAGAAGAAAAAAAACAGGTCATGCTGATTATATCCTATTCCTACGAGCTGCAGAGGGATCTCCAGCTCGGTTTGACACAGTGTCACCTGGAGATTCCAGCACCAAGTGTTATGGATTTCTTTCTAAAGGTAAACCAAAGGCATTTCAACCATAAGAGAATCTGAATCATTGGATCAAAGAAAGGTTTGGGTTGGAAGGTACCTTTAAAGACCATCTAGTCCAACCCCACTGCCATGAGTAGGGCCATCTTCATCTAGATCAGATTCCTCAGAACCCTGTCCAACCTCACCCTGAATCTTTCTAGAGATGAGGCATCTACCATCGGTCTGGGTAACTTGTTCCAATGTTTCTCCACCTGTGTTGTAAAAATATTCTTATTTACATCTAATCTAAATTGACCCTCCTCTAGTTGAAAACCATTACCTCCTTTACTATCACAACATGTCCTGCTAAAAAGTTTGTCTCTGAGATGAAATAAGCTTCCTGGCACTGTCCTTTTGAAATTGATTTTCTAAAGAGACGATTGACAACCCTAATACCCAAGTGATATTTGGTTCATCCAAGTTTAATTTTGCCAAATTGTTTTGCAGCCTCAGTCACTTTACAGGCTGAAGGGTCTGTTTCTCCCAACTGTAGGATTGACTGATTGCTTCACTCAGCAAGGCTGAGTGAAGGAACTGTGTAAATGGAATTAGGAAAGGACAGAGTAGGTGATCCAGTGTTATCCATTTTTAAGGAGAATCTGAAAAATCCCCTTCCCACACTTTGAAATTATGGGCAGGCAAAGCTACATGAATACAGCAGCCTTTGGGCTGAGGAACATCAGCAGTTGCTTTTTTGCCCATCTGTAGAACAGAAGATTCTGCTCACTGAGGAAGGAAAGGCAGTCGCAGTTCTGAGAAACTGATCCTTTTGATCCTGAGAATATGGGATTTTGTGGAAATCAATTAGTATAAGCCATGTATAAGTGCTTTGGTTTCCTTATTTATGAGGGTTTGGATATCGCTCTCCTTCAGTAGAACTTTATAGACACAAATGGAAATAGATTTAAGCTGTTTTGTATACTTCTCAGGATGTAGCAGGTTGGGATGAATCGTACATTCATACAGAGTTATCAGTTAAGTTGACAGGAGGAACAAAGCGATCGATGCCAGCTGTGCATTCAGCCTGTTGTGAGCTGTAATTTATTCTTACAGCATCAAACTGCACAGGGAAACAAGAGGAGATTATATATTCTTTTGCAGAAGCAAGGTAATGGTACAGAACTTCGAAGGCTAGCTGCCACTGAAAGAGTATGTTTACTGGTGAAACATTTGTTCGCTGGTTTATACTGTTAAAGGTATTTCTGTAAATGAAGGAGGAGGCACACTTTGTCAGATATTTCCTTTTTGTGTGGAAATTCCTTGTTTGCCTTATCCTCTGATGATCCTAAAGCAGTAAGCACTGACAGATCCAAAGTTGGCTGCTGCTCACAAGGAAGGGGCACTAAAGGCTTTTTTCAACTGTCTAGATATTCTAACCCTCTCTTGGGAGCACATTCTATTACTGCCCTTTGCAGTTAAGGTAAAGTTATGATGGAGCAGGAAAAGTGAACGATTTGAAAAAAGGGGAAAAAACCCCAGTGCAATTATTACCAGTCACCATTTGCAAGATATCACAGCCTTAAGCAATAACTTCAGCTACAGATGTGGAGATGAACTTAGTAACTGTGAGTATCCCCAGTTAGGTAGAAATAAAGAGAACAACAAAAATGTAGTCACTGTTCATAGAATCATAGAATAGTTTGGGTTGAAAGGGACCTTAAATATCATCTAGTTCCAACCCCACTACCATAGGCAAGGACACCTAGACCAGGTTGCTGAAAGCCCCATCCAACCTGGCCTTGAACATTTCCATGGATGGGGCATCCCCAACTTCTCTGGGTAACCTGTTCCAATGACTCACTACACTCACAATAAAGAATTTCTTCTACTCTAAACCTACCCTGTTCCAGTTTGAAGCCATTTCTCCTTGTCCTATCACTACATGCCCCTGTAAACAGTCCCTCTCCAGCTTTCTTGTAGCCCCTTTATATACTGTATATATATACTGTATATACTGTAAGGCCGTAATAAGGTCTCTCAAGAGCCTTTCCTTCCCCAAGCTGAGCAACCCCAGCTCTCCCAGCCTTTCCTCATAGGAGAGGTGCTCCAGCCCTCTGATCATCTTTGTGGCCTCCCCTGGACTTGCTCCAACAGGCTGACATCCCGGTTATGTTGGGGACCCCAGAGCTGAATGCAGTCCTCCAGGTGGGGCCTCACCAGAGCAGAGAAGAGGGAGAGAATCGTCTCCTTGTTCTGGTGTCCCCAGCATCGACTACTCATTCTCTTAGGTGTGTGCTGACAAGGTCAGTTAAGCACTCTGTTTTTGAACAGAAGAGGTAAAGCATGGACTGTGGAAGTGTAATTTCCTCCTCATGTGCCTGAGGCTTGATTTGTGAAAAGCAGTTGAAGAGTACATTATGAGAACAACATCCAAAGTACACAATGCTTTGTCTTTTAGAGAGGCTTATTGGAAGTGATGCCAATGAAAGCCTCTCTTCTTGATGGCATATATCCCGCAAAACAACTTCCCAAAGGACTGAAGTATAGTAATTTCTGGTTCCCTTGTTTGAATTCAAGGCATCTGAGATGAGAGCAACTCCTCTGTCCTGTTTCTCTAATTCTGTCCCTTTTATTACCACATCTGTTCTATTCTCCATAAAACAGAAAGGATTTTATTCCCACAACCCGGTGCAATTTATGGTTGTGAGAAAAACTGTAGTATATTTTATATTAAAGGAGAAATTGGTTAGTGTCAGCTCCCACAAACTGGAATGTGATCGAATAAAATTCTAGCAATTTTATTAGTTGTAAAGCATGTAGATGAGAATGAAGCAAGAATCTTTTTTTTTTTTTTACAAATTTAACAGTTTTGTACAATTACCATCCTCATGCATTTCAGTTTATCTTTGAATGTAAAATCTTTCTTCAAGTCTTATTTGAACACAGAATAATCTCAAACCCCATGCCAATACTGACAATTTCTTCCAGCTCTTTCAGCTGGACAAAGATATCTGCATGAAAGAGATCTCCTGGGAAAAAATAGGAACAAAAGCTGCCATGGGTTTGGGACTAGTGAAAGTGCCAAAAAGAGCAGGGATGACAGCTTTTGGTTATCCCTCAAAATCTTTATTTTCCAGAGTGCAAGTAAAGGAGAAAGATACGTAGTGGCTTTCAGAGGGATGGGCATTTACGCCCCTGAGAACATGCTTCAGATTTCATCAGCGGGAAGGCCACTATTTTATTTTTTTCAGGAAAAGAGAGAGCAAAACAGTGCAAGGAGCATTCACCAGTCCTGCACAATAGATTCTAAAACACAGGAATGCCTTTGATGTCTTATATTATAAAAGTAATTATCAGAACAAGAAAAATGCACAGGCTGAAAAGTGTTATATTTTTTTTTCTCAAAATGTGTGCTGTTGATCACTGCTATGGACAAAAGTTACAGGTAGCTTGGTAAATAACTGGTTCTGTAATTGTACATCCAAAACAACAGGTTCTCAAAATTGGCAGATCTTTCAGAAAACTCTAATTGGGAACTGATTGTTCCTGCTCCCCACCCTCCCCACTCTCCCCACATCCAAATTTGCTTCCATCTGGGGCTGTTCATAAAGCTGCAGTTCTGTCAGTGTCAGAGATGCAGTAATTTCTAACTCAGGAGTTTTTTGACACACAAAGCTCCTGCTTACCCTGCCAGCACATTTGCATGCATTTGGAAGGTTGGAAACTAGATACAGCAGACATTCAGAGGAGACTGGGTCGCTGCAGTAGCCTGACTACTCTGCATGTCAGACTTTGATGTGTGAGTTTTCAAAGCCATCATCCTATGCTACTTCCTTCAGTGTTTCTGCTGCTGCCTGTACAGTGAAGGCTGCAATGGAAATTTGCCTCTTCACTTCTTCCCAGGCTTCATGTTGATCAGCTTTGCTTTGAATATCAAACATGGCATCGTAGATCCCTGGGAAGGACTCTCCGGCATACTTGTTGTGACTGCTTGGAGCAAAAATGACATGTCTGTGGGGAAAGAAGAAAATTAATGAAGGGGGGGTGTTCATTGTAGGGAACATCTGTGAATCCCAGGAAGATCTGAGCTTACTAAATACACAGGAAATCTAGCTGGACACATCTTTAAAAGGACAGGAGCCAGCCCCAAGGGCAACATCTGTGTGAAAGGTCACAGATTTAGGTCAGGTAGCCTTCTTGGGAAGAAATGATGCATTTGTCTAATTAGGAGCAAAACCATGTTACACTTTTTGAAAATGGGAGCTCAACAAACCTGTTGAACTAATTTGGCAGTCTGAAAAAGGGAATAAAACTAGTTATAGGTGTATCGTAAAAAATGGAACAGAAACCTCAAAAATAACTAAGTAGCTGCATGATGGTCAGCAGATCTGGGAAAGGAATGTAAAAATAGGGTAAAAAAATCTATGGGTGAATTAGGAATCTTCAGAGATCAGAAGTTACCATATTGGATCAGAACTACACAAGAAGTATTAATTTTATTTGTTTGTGCAGGATTTTTTTTCCTAAATAATGGATAGCTGCATATCTTCTCTTAGATTGGTTTGATTTTAAATACGAAATATCAAAGCACATTTGCAGCATGTGAAGGAGTCCTTCCAAATAAAATAAACATTAAAACTACATTAATAAAGGCAAGAAATTAAAAAAGTAAAAAAAAAAAAAAATCCAGACAGCTCTAAATGATACCCAACACCCAACGAGAAGAACTGTAGAAAGCAGCAATTTCATTCTTCCCAAAGTGTGAATGACAGTTTATCCTAGGAGGATGGAAGTGTGATTCTCAATTCTACCTGCCTGAGGGACTTCTGACTTGACATGAAAGCCGTCAATCAGTGAGTCAGATATATCCTGTCGTTAGGAAGAGGGGGATACTGAGAGCAAAGTGAGGTAGTCACACACCTGACACTGGAAGCTGGCTTCTTGTCAGGTATTACTAATAAAAGCACTGAGTTTCTAGAAAGAATATGGTAGTTAATGATATAAGCTATTCCACCTATAGAAGCACTTAAACCTGGGACAGAAGGGACTCTGCAGCACAGCTCATAGGCCTTTATCCACCCCGTGCTGAAAGGTCCCTCCCTCTTCAAGCTCTCTCTTCTCTGCTTGTCTCTTCAGCTGACCCTCACTACTCATCTATTCTCACCCTTATCTCCCTTTTAGTCTACCCTCATTTCTCCTTTTTTTTAGCACAGTTGATTCTCCACTCAATCCTCACTTTGTGCAGGTTCAAAAGAGCAAGCGGTAACAGCGGTAGTGCTACACACCTGCTAGTAGGAGTCACAGAGCATGATGGTTGTGTGGTTTCACCACAGCTAATAAAAGCAGAGGGCCAGACCCAAGGAGAGGAACTTGGCACCACAAGACCGATGTAGCCAAGGAATTCTCCTTGGGGATTATAAGCAAAGTCTACTGCTCACTGGATTGTACCTAAAGCAACGTGTTGAGCTGTAATTCCTATATGAGACCTATACAGAAATTTAACTGGCTGGTCAGCTGGTGGGGGGTTCACCTGCAAAAATACAGTGCCTTAGACAGTGGGTTGAGAAATTACTTGCCTCACCTGTAAAACCTCCTTCCTGGCAAGCCCAGAGGATCAGTGAAAGCTCTTTCTATCAACATCAACTGATCATTCATGATTCGCACTGCAACTGGACTGTGGGAGATGGAGACAGAACATTTCACACAGTGGAGAAACATGACTTCCCAGTTGTGTTTAAACACTTTTCCTCTTTTTTGGACAGAAATAAAAAAGACAAATATGGTCAACAGTTTTCAAAAAAAGATGAGGTTTTGCAAATGGACATATTCAATACATGTTTTATTAATACATTGAAATTTCTGTGTTAGAAAACTCAACAAGATTTCACACTATGCAAAATAAAATGGGAAAGTTTCTGAGTGTCAGATACTTGCTTAGTGTTAAATGGCATGAGAAAGATCTCAACAGAGAGCAGAGGAAGGCTGAGATTTAGGTCAAGATGAAGATAGCTAGATTTTGATACCCACCCATAAGTCAAGTGTCCATACTCCTGTTCTAATCTATACAGTAACATAGTAAGGATGGGATTCAGTTGCCTAAACACCTAACTGGTACCATACCAGGTGTCTAGGAGCACTTGGCCTCCACTCACTGCTCTCAGAAGGCACAGGAGTCCCATAGGGCCCTTAGGTTTGCAAGCATCCTACAGATATCTCTGAAGCATCATCCTCTCTCCTTGAAGTGTGCTGAATGTACAAATTCTGGCATCATCTGCAACACTCAAGTGTAGGTGTCTAAACACAGAGCTCAGCAGTGAAAGTTAAAGTTGGACTATCTGCCTTTCCATGTATTACAACAATTTTGATGTCAATCTGACACTTGTAATAAGCTCTACAGCTGATACTATTCATCATAGGAAGCATTCTTATATCTGCTAATTTATCTTAGCCTGTCTCAGAGTTCAAGGGCTCTGTAGAGAGACTCCTTGTGTTGTCAATTGAAAGAAAGAACAGCCACCCTTGGTACCTAAGACAGATGTACATATATGCATACACACACACACAAACACATACATATATAAAACTTTTTTTCATACTTACTCTTTCTTGTCCACTTGTTCAAGCCTCCTGTGAAATTCATCAGCAGCCTTTGAAAAGTTCACCACAGAAGAAAAAAGAGGATCTAGAAAAGGAAGGACTTCGTGAACAACTTTAGGATATTTACTGAGCCCAATCTACCTTTGAGTTGCCCAGTGGGAGAAAAACTACATTTGTCTTGCTGATATAATAGCATTAATTTTTTTGTCTTTCCATAAATGATTAGTTTCCCTAGTGCAGACTTTAAAGAGCTGCACTACTAGCAGTAATAGACAAATACCTTGTGCAATGAGACCAACAGTAAAGCAGAATGCATGGTAAAGTTTTCACAAGTTTTCACATCTTCCCTCTGCCTGGCAAGGAAAAACTGGCTGGCATTGCAAACTGGGAGATCTTCAGTCTCCTTTTTAACAAAAGGATGCACTGTAATGTTTAGGTATAAAAAGCCTGACTTTCATGAAAAATATCAGCTCTTCCAGAAGGCTGTGAAGAACAGCAGGATTTCTCTCTAGGAGCATGATGTCCTATTCATAGCATAACAGAAGAGTGTGGTATGTGTATTGAACAGCATTAGGTGGGGCACAAAAGACACAGCTGTCTTAGAACACAGTGATACACACAGCAGATTAAAGTAGCTAAGTCCTGTGGTTGCTCCACGCTGGAATTACAGCATAGGAGGTGTCTCTGCCACAACCCCACATGCCATCCCGCAGTGCTGCCGTGGGATTTTACTTGCTGTGCCTGGCTATGTGCAGTCATAGCTGCAGCTATGGCAGTTTTTTTTCCTGCCCTGTCCTTGGCAGTACGTCCAAGCCATGTGGAGTAACTTAGCCAAAGAAGCAGAGGTCTTCCTGTTAATGGCAGTAGCAGCTGTGATGATTTTCTTGTGATAGGCTCTGTTTAATACAGACCTGTGAAAATTATACAAGTAATTTTTATAGAATAAGTAACAGGTGGATATTATGAGGAGAACTTCTGGCTGCACCAAAACTCAACTCAATTACAAAGAAGGAAATTTTACACCTTGTGCATTTTGCCCACAAGTTTTAGAAAACTAGATAAACCAGAGCATCCTCTCTTTGATTGTACAGGAAAATAGGACATAAGATTAGATCATCTCCTAAATCCAGTCCTCTGTTGGCAACTATTATTCCTTCACCGTTTATAAATTCATCACTCAATTTCATGTGACATGCTTTCTGTTCCCAGGACTCCTATTGAAAGCTTTTCTTCAGTCTCATTTGCTCTTCTGTTTCTAGCAAATTTATTTATTCATCATGAGCCTGCATTTTCTTCTTCTTATATTAGTATTGTTGTTAGTTTATGCAATTAGAGACACAGATTTTATGTATGCAATTTGTTTATGGACTGCAGCATGGAGAGACCCATGTCACCTTGAGAGGGTGAGAATTCACACTTGTCCACAACTGTGGCAATAGCTCTAAGTTTGCCAGAGGATAGAGTTCTGCCCTGCTGACATCATGGTTATATTGCAGCAACAGATTATATTTCAGAAGCAGTAGGAGGGGATTTAAGAGGGGAAAAAAAAAAAAGAAAGGTTATCTGAAAATATGTAAGAAACTTTGTGTTCATGTTCACTAGCTATTCAGTGTTGTCAGTATTGGTTATTTTAGAAAATATCACATTTCTTTTTTCCCCAAACTTTATTTCCTGACAGCATATTACTACAAGCACATATTTTATGAAAAAAATTTCCAGCCTTCATTGTTGCAGAGGAACAGCTGAAATGTGAATCCAAAGGCAAATAAAGCCCTTAATTTATCACTTTAAAAGACAATTATGTGATTTATTCTGGTTTAATTAACAATTTTCTGACATTCAGTGTTGTCAATAAGCAATTCTATGAAAATGTTGAGTGAAATTAATTTTAATTTTCACAGTACTGTAAAAGCTACCTATGCATTTTAATGTACTCTGGTGCAATAGAACAAACAAAAAATTAGAAATTAAAATTTCATTCAAGAAATAAATTAACACTCAACAAGCCTGAGAGAAGAGACATGAAAATAATGAAAAGACTGAAAAACATGCCTTGCAAAGAAATGGTCAAAATTGCACATTGATAAAGCTGGTAAGGAGAGGTTTAGTGGTATTTGTGTAGAAAAAAAAAAAGAAAAAAAGCTAAAAAAATATTGCCTCTCCATTCTAGGAACAAGAATAGATGCATTGGTTATAAGGTAGTTTGGTCAACTTCTAATATGAAATAGAGAAAAAAACAATGAAAATAAATTATTTCACATAAATTTTGGTAGATGTTCTATTACTACAAAAAGAATTTTCAGGTATGCTGAAATATGCTGCAGTGAACACTGGACAATATTGAAATAAATCCCTGTGTTATGCAGAATCTCAGACTAGATGATCCATCACACAAGGCTTTGTCTGTATCCAGAGGCCTTTTTACAAAAAGGGGTGTCTTATAAAAATAGTCAAGAATTTTTCACGTAAACCATTACATGAAGTTTTAAATGTCATTTTTAATTATCCCCAAAGGTGAATTCAATTTGACTTACTTCTAATGCTTCACATAGTCCAAAAGAGGACTGCATCTCCAAAAAGCTAATCTGTGTCTCTAAATTATTGGTCCATCAGATAGCAAGTGAATTAGGACTGACTGAAAAATCTCCTTAGAACAGAAACACAAGGAGTGAACAAGGCAAGAAGGAGAAAAGAAGAGAGAGAGAGAGAGAGAGAGAGAGAGAGACAGAAAATTACTGTGGAAGCCATCGTAGCCTGGGACCCAGAGCACTCTGCTGCTTCAGACCTATTTTATATGCTACAGAGAAATGTGTTCAAGTGCTTAGCAAATGGATGTATTAATGCAGGAGAGCTAGAGAAATACTTCTGTTGTCTAAAACTGGTAGCCATGCACTGAGGCAGATGGTAAACAAGTTCCCTGGAGGTCAGATGAAGTCTTTGCCGCAGGAGGAGCAGGCGCCTGTGTCTCTCAACTTCCAAGAAATCACCATAAGCATTTAATTTGTCTTCTTTTTTAAGCAAGAAAGTGAAAAGCAGGCTGTGATATTTCTTTATTCTGCATCTGAGGTTCCTGACTGCCCATGAGCACCTTGATAATACCTATATTTAAAAATATGCATGAAATTAGAGGCTCTTTCTTATGATGGCAAAATTCAAACAGGAAAGTAAGGAATTCAGTTGCAGAGCTGTAACAGATATGACATACCCCTGCATGATTCTAATTAACATACGTAAGAGACAGTCTTGTGGCTATTACTCACCAAATGACACTTTGTAAAGTTTCAGCTTTTCTTCATGCTTCTTGGCCAATTTATAAATTCTATTGCTATATCCTTTTAAGGCTTCTCCATAATCTCTACAGTCGAATGGAATGACCTGGGAATCTGCCAGTTCATAAACCAGTTTTCCTCGTAACTGGGCAATTGTTAGCTGTTTCTTGAAAGTGGGGTCGTAAAATTTTTCCACTAGTTCAAATGTCTCATACCCAGTGTGATAAACAGGATAATTGCTGAATTTGTCTGCTTTCTGGAAAAGATCAAGGAAATTTGTCAGTGCTCTGTATTCTGACTGCAGTTAAGAGATGTATTGATCACTTAATGGCTATGATGTTTCATACAGTTTCCAAAACAAAAAACCTATTTGCTACACAACACAATTTTCTATTCTTCATTTTTATTTGGTCATCTTAAGAAACTAAACCAGTCTGAATCCATGGACTGTTGCACAAGATTAAATGAGACGGCTCCCTTCTCTCTACCTACACAGACCTGTCTTCAGTTCCGTTATACAGAGATTGCCTTCACCAAGAGTGAAAACAGTTTGGGGTTTTGGATAGCAAAAGTCCTCAATCACAGCCCCTTTTTATCTTGCATAGTTATTTCTGAACACAATCATGGAAGATTTGTATATTAAAAAGCTTACTAATAGCATGGTGAAATGAACTGTATTCTATAAATACCTTTCTGTGAACTTGACATCCTATAGAATATACAACATCACTGTAACATGTTTTCTTCTACAGACATTTAGGTTTCTTGCTAAATTAAGAAATGGCACTGATATACAAACCAGTCAAAGATGCTTTGAAGCTTGTTTATTAATTCTGAATAAATGCTTGTTACAGGATGACTGCTCAGCACTATCAAAATTCTTCAAGCAATCTGGCAGACTTACCCTATTCTTGGTGTAACGAGCTCTGCCTGATGCAATTCCCAGTCGCTGAAAGTAAGCTTCAAAATCACTGCCTGACCCCAGTTTATTTATTCTACATGTAGAAAAGACAACATCTTAGTGAAAGCACTTACTGAACAGTAATAGTAACTTATGCAAAATGCAGATTTTTCAGAGAAATTGTAGTCTGTTCTTCTGGAGGGCACATCAGGGACACTGGTAAGATCAGAGGCTAGATGAGTGGCAAGCTTAATTACTTAACTGATTTTATTCCAACATGCTGATTCAGTATTCAATACTGCTAGGAAGATCTTTTGAAGGTAGTAATCCTGATTATGACACTGATCACATTTCAAAAAAAAAACCCAAACAAAACAACGAACCACACATTATGCACGGGAGACATAAAATTGTATCAGACATGTCTCTGCCATCTTAAAACATCAATCAACTATTTCCAAACTAATATGAATTGGGCAGAAATGTATGTAAAGACAGATGTGTTTATGTACTTGGCACATTCCGCAGCAGAATCCAAGACCGATAAATAATTTCCACTGCAGAAAGTGATCGGCATTGGTACCTACGGGTCACTACTGCTATCTGGTGGGGAGATGTGGCATGACAGTAAAGACGCCTAATATTCCAAGTATCTTCACATATTTACGTTTGATATTAAGTTTTAGGTTTATATGTCTAGCCTGGTGAATAATTTGTGTTTCTCAGCTAAAAAAAAGAAGTTTCTTCTGCTCCAGATGGAGTTCTTCTGTTAGTATAAATTTCTGCAAGGAACTAATTGTATCAACTGAGAAAGATCAGATGTGGTAGATTTTTCAAAAGGAAGAAATCTCAATGAGTCTCATGAACCCAGAAACTCATCTTAGCAGGGCCGGAAAAATGCAGAACATTTTGGTCAAATCACACAAAGGGGCAGTTCTGTTTACCTTATGTGAGTAATGCCGCACTGTGAAAAAGATTTAGCTTTCTGAGTCACAGGCTGAAAGACTGATTAGGATTTTTAGTACGTTCAAATATGAAGTTTTAATACCCTCATATATAGATTTGTAATTTAATACATTTATATCCATTGTGTAAACAAAGAATAATTATCACAAGTTTTTTAATGGCTGCTTTTTAATTACTGCTCTAGGCAGCTTCTTTCAACTGAGCATTTGCTTATCCTAACAATTTTGTCTCATCTAGTTGGTGACTAAACTATGTTTTGAACTCTTTCCCCACCCTGCTTTTTTTGATTGCTTTCCAAATTGCTTTTCTACTCATTAAAAGTATGAGATTTCATAATGTTATCATAATTTAAAAAAAAAATATTTTACTATAAAAGATATTGCTAAAAAGTCACCTTACACTAAAAGGTTTTGTACTGCTGTCATAAATAGCACATCTCAAAAAATTCTGGAGGGTAGACATGCTATGATATGATAAAAACATTGGGAGAAAAAAAACAACAACAACAACATATTAAAATCTTACCTTGGATAGCTATTATTTTCAGTTCCAGGGTCTTTCTCAAGCCAGCTCTCATAAAGAGACTTATTTGCATAACCCTCATCAGGGCTTAAAATCTGGAGAGGAAAATATTATACTCTCATTGGAAGAACCTCTAACTCAATTCATTGTCAAAGGAGCCCTTTACAACCATCTGCATCATTCTTTACCAACAGTATTACTGCATGCAGGGAAGTACACATACACTGTTTACATTTGTGACACATATTTATGGATCCCAACCACAAAAAGCATCTCACAGGCACTTGGAACCAAGCACAGGCAGCAGGGAAAAGCAGGTTAAAGGCTCATGGATACTAGCTAGAGCTCATCTGCTACTGGAAGAAGTTGATTCTAGGACTTCTTACCACCTTATAGCACTTTGTATGTACACACACAACAGCATATATAATACTATGAGACTCTTCCAGCAGCCAGGGTGCCCCAGCTGCTCTCCTTTCTGCAGGCAAGGGGAGATGACAGCCATAACCCCGTGGAGGTTTGCCCTGCACAGCAGCAATATTCTCTCAACAAGGCTAAATCTAAAACTTGATTGCTTTTTCTATAGGAAAGTCACAAAAGAATTGTGCTAGAAGGAAGGGTCCAAATCAGTCATATTACAGCAGTGCCAAGGGGACTCAACCAAGACTGGAGAATCATTGTGTAAAACATTGTATGTACAAATGCAGGTGTCACCCTTACCTTCAAAAAACCAAAAAGCTCTGTAACCAGGATGGAAAAGGTAAATATTAGTGCAGTCATCATGCTGCCAGGAAAACTATGAAAGTGTGTAAAATTAGTTGACCAAAGCTCTTAGAAAATCTATGGCAGAGGTAAAAATAAATCAATACTTCAGCCTTGGTCTCCATCTACACTTAAACAGCCTTTAATAGACATGGTCCTTTAAATATAAGATTGCTTATGATATGTAGAGGATTGGGATTTTTTTTCCAAAATACAAAACATAAATGTTCATGGCTAGATACACGGCCCCACCATATTATTGAGACTTAAATTCTGCATTGAAAAACATACAGACTCCGCCTTGAAAATCCAAAGAGTTCTGACCTCTGAGATTTTGTCAGCAGCTAGCAGAAAAATAACAACTTTGTGAAATAACTGCTTGGCTGCCATCATTTTCAGGGCACTTTGGTTAAGTCCTAGGGCTAAAATGAAAACGGCACATTAATAAGTGCAAGCTGAACTCTGACATATGGGAGCAAAAGCACTCCATGCTCTGGCAAAGATATTATTCTGACATTTCTGGTCATGTAAAAACCTTTGCGCAGCTTCTTCATACAACACTGAGAGCATAGTAAAACATACTATTTGCCCTGACTTAGATCCAAATCTAGAATCAGCATAAGCTTCCTGCTACCTCAAGGAAGATGCAGAGTTCTTTAAGTATAGCTGAAGCAGTGGTGATCAGAACAGGGGAACTGGAATTGAGCTATTGCAGACACTGTCTGGTGATGACCAAATGTCTAAATCCTAACAGTGGAGCAAGGCGAAAAAAGACAGTCAACAGCTAAATGTACCATCTGTATGCAGAGGACCACACTTAAATGCAGAACTCCTTGAAAGAGAACACTTCACATGTACACTACATTTCTTTTTGGTGAGAATTGGCTCACTAAAAAATAAGATCAAAGAGATCTTTGGATTTTGGACTGTTTAATACGAACAGAAATAACCTTCCTTTGGACATGCATAATCAGATGTCAGGTTGTCAAGTTTTTTCTTGTTTACATCATGCTTCTAAAGTTAAAAGTTAACATAACATGGAGTAGGAATTTTTTTTTTAAGTCAGTCTTAAGTACTTTGCATAGTACTTTAATGGAAATTTTCTACTCAAACCAGCAATAGTTGAATAGCTGACTTAAGATCAAGAGTGAGGTACTATTTTTAGCCCAGAGCATCTTTTTTAACTTAGTTTCTCTTTTGCAGGAAAATGTCTTCCTGGGTAAGTGGCTTGCTGCAGACAGAAAATAAATTATGTTATCCAGGGCCTGCAGCACTAAGGACATGGAAATTTTTATATACAAAAGAGAATGCCCTTCAGTGTGCAAAGTGTCAGAGCTAACATTTGAATAAACACAGCTTCTTCCCCTGCAAGGATGAAAGAAAAGGTTAAGATAGAATTTATAAGAAAATAAAATGTAGAAAAGAAAATCATAGAATAGCATAGATAAACCTCCCCTGCCATTTCAGGTTTTAAAAGAGTAACACTTTTGAAAATAACTCAGGATGAATGCATCTAGTGGATTGAGAGACTGGTAGCTGGAGTCATCCTACCAAGTGCAATCACAGTGCAGATTTTTACACTGGAGCAAGCCACCTGAGTTCCCTTCATATCAGGGGAAAAAATTGTTTGAGTTCTGTACATACAAAGGTGGAAAACCACATTTGGCCAAATGAATCTCATCCTAAAGGCACTTATTTCTACCCAATGCCTTTAAAGGGAGCCTATGTTGCTTAAGTCAGTCAGAGATCTGTTCTGTTAACTGAGATGAATCCAGATCTGAGGATAGTGGCAATGGCTCATGCTAGGTGCCTAATTTGGTTAACTCCTTATATGGCCAAGGGAGTTCCATACTTTAATGGATCAGAACCTTTCAGTCTGATGAGAATTTATTCTGAGAGCTGAAAGTAAAGAAGACATGGTTAGACCACTTGTCATCATGCAAATATACATGTCTGGCCTGTTACAAAACCTTCTCAATCCTTCAATTTTTATTACATATTTCAAAGGCTCAGTGAGATATGAAGGAGATTTGGGGGAACAGACAGAGAGAAAATGGTAGCTAGCCAATATAAAAATTATTTCCTTCAATGATTATCACTTTAGATGTTTTGTGTTTTAGATGTTTAGATGTTTTATCATCTTGGTTTTATTATTATTGTTTTTACTATATATTGAAAATATGACTCCACTTATGTCAGTGACACATTTCAACCTTTAAGAATACCGAGGAACTGTGAGCATGGACTGTGTACTGCTGATGGGATGTTTTGCTATTGATTTTGGTGGGATCAAGATTCTTCCGGCACAGCAATAAAATAAATCCAATATTATTCAATAATCCTATTTTATCCAATAAACTTACAGTTTTACATTCTTAGAAAGTCAGAAATAGTAGACACTGATTATACCTCTTTTGTCAGATTATACACCAGTTTGTAGAGAAGAGGGGTGCAGTCAACTCTTAATGTGTAGTTCCCTGAAAATAAAACAAAGACATGGAAATTTTCCCTTCATGTACCAGTGGCATTATCTTCTTAATTGATTATACCCTGCAGTCCTTTCTTAGATAAACTTCTGGATTCCAAGGCAAGAATTTAGATCTTGCCTCAGAATATATACAGAAATAGACTACTTGGTCACACTGTATGAGCTCCTGCCACTGCATGACAATGATGGATTGGTTATAGTACATACACAGGAACATAATTAAGCCTTCCCTCTAAAGGAAGGCTAAAATATGCCTAACTCTCCCTCATTAGCTACAAGCCCTTGTCACTCATATGCTTCCTGAAGCTTGTGTTAAATAGAAGGCAAAAAATAAGATGTTAGAAATAAAGTTAATGCTTTCAGGAAGTGTGCAAGAGGAAAGACATTTGCTACAAGATGTTTTAAGAAATCTTTCAATTCAGCTACTTTTCTTACCATAGACAGTACTTTTTCGATGCTTTTGCAGACTGTATCTACAAGACAGGTCATCTTCTGAGTAAGAGAGTTGCAAGATATCTGGCATTTTACATTTCAGAACTAAGTCTAGCCCAAATAGAAGGCAAAAAAGATGCAGAGCAATGTTTTCTTCTGTCTCCTAAACCTCCCCTTTTACCATTAGGTAGTGGTATCTACCCTTTATTCCCATCAAATTTTCATGCTGCTGGCAGATTGTGTTGGGCTTGGTAAGTATTGCATAGCAAAGTTCTCAGCTGCAGCAGCAACAGTCCCATCAAAAGGAACTATGGGCATTTTTGGGACAGGCAGGAGTGTAAAGCAGTCTTCTCTACAGACTGTAGCCACCAGAGAGCAGTGAGCAAACACCTCTGCCCTCAAATAGAGACAACAACAAAGAAGGGAACAGGAATGAAAAGGCTGCAACATAAAAAACTCCCACAAGCTCTCAGATAACAGTTATTAAGTTATTGTTATTGTTGGTAATTAGTTATCAGTTATTAGGTTTTGATACGGCTTTAGATCTTGGGTCACACTTTTACACAGTGTGTACTGACATATCATATTCTAGGACTAGACTGACGATTACAAAAAAGTCCATGATGATGGAAAAAATACTAGATGATGTTAATGATGTTTCCAAAAGGAGTCTGTATTTGAGAGCTGTAAATTCAAATCATGAAACTGTTCAAAATGATGAACCCCTCTCCTTCTTTTCATTGCTATAAGACAATAAAGAGAAATAATTGGCTGTGCAAAATGTGGTATAAGTGCTGTGGAAAACATTTGATGATAAACAAAATAATCATCAGAGTACATGAATGCTATGACTTTACAGTAGATTTTACTACTCAGTCAGGTGAAAGATATCCAAGATACTTAAACCAGTGCACTTAACATGGTGTTCTTTTCCTTATTACATATTTCTTTTCCAGTTGTTTTACTTTCATATTTTCTTTAATGCATAAAGCAACAGATATGTTTGAATAATCAAGATTTAGAAGAAAATTGTTAAGGCAGCAGTATGTTGGCGGCAAACCAACTAAAAAATATGTGTTACAATCCATGCTGAGAATCTGAAGCAGTTGTAAAGCTATTATTTCATTTGTGAGATCTTCTAGGCGTGAAATTCTGCTCTACTTTTTACACAGCATGTAGGCTGCATAAATGAAGGAACAGCTCTAACCCTCCTTATTCCTCAGCTCCAACTGAGCCTTTAGAAACTGGGTTTGGCTTTTCTTTCTTTCCAATCCTTTTGTGATGGACAAAATTTTCAGCTGACAGGAATAAAAAGAGTTCTTAAATATGCCTGTTGATAACCATTTTATTCACACAAAGGAAGCCCAAAAAAGTTGGGTTTGACGTGGAACATTAATGCCTTGAATAACTTGATGTTATGATGCAGAGCAGCTTCACAGGACTCTTCTAACTATTCTTTCAGCACAGACAACAGTAAAAGAGGTCCTTCAGTAATAAAGCCCAGCATATTTTAAGAAAGATTTTGTCATTCAGGTTATAGTGTAGAGCTCCCCAAAAAGGCCAGTTTGTAAGTAACATTCCTGAATGAAAGATTCTTGCAGTCTGAAGAACATAGTAAATGGGATAATGGTGGGTAAGGTTTTTTGTGAAACACTCTTCAGTGCCTATTTTTGAAGAAGAGCTCTGCTGTAATACATGTATAACTCCCTGATCATAGCAATGAACAAAGATGACCACACTGGCCTGAAGCACTAAATTATCTCGCACCCCCATCAAGTGTAAATCTAAGGTCTCGATACAAGTTGTCTTATAAACATAATATATTAGTGTCTGAAAATATTATGATTCCACAGGGAAGAGTTGGAGCTGTGACCAGAACAAGGAGCAGACTGTCATATATCAAAACCACAATTGTAAATTAAAGCTAATGCAGTTAAGAGAGAGTTTAATATACAGAACACTCAGTTAACACAGAACACAACACTCCGCCAGAGGAGACATTCTGGACTCCAGACACATGGGCTGCAGCTCAAGGATGGCACTATTTGCAAAAGAAAGCAACACGAGAATTTAAATTGTTCTGTCTCTCCACTAAATTCTGTATTTACTACACTTATTCTGAACATCACTATACCTATCTTATGTTTTCCAGCTCTGAATGCAATAAATAATACACAGAAAACTAATAAAAATTATGCCTGGGAAGTAAGGTAAATTTAAAAATAAAAGACCCACCTTCTATAGAAGAATCTGTGTTGATGTAAGCAACTGCCCGTTCCTGAAGGACTTTGGCATTTTCCTGGGGTTGTAAATGTGTAATTGTTACTTTCAATTAGTGACATTTAGTGAAGAGCATGTTAAGTGCACTATTTCTTAAAGCATTGCCTTTAAGAACTCTGTCAGGATAAATACTACTATGTACCTTACTAATTATATTGTTTGAAGATGGGTAAATGATCCTGGCATATGAAATTCACTCCTGCTTTCTGGGACTTAATTTGTTGTGGAAAATATCCACAAAATGAAGGTTCTGCCTGCTGCATCACACAGGAGTGAGATGGAACAGGAAAATTATTGAACAGAATTGTAACACAATAAAATAAGGCTCTACATGCTTTTTAACTCTGCACTTTGGGACTTTTTGAACATGCAACATGTCACTGTGAGATCTGCCAGAATTCTTCCATGCTTTTAATTCCTAGCACTAAATTTAATTTTAACACTGATGAACTGAGCACTGCTGTCATTTCTACACTATTCCATTTCAAAAAGGGATGAGTCAAAGCACTAAAATACCCTATTAAAATGAAGTTGACTATTTTTAGTCCACCAAGAATTGCTTTCATGCTAAATATTTACACACATCTCGTTTAATTTTTTGCAAACTGGTAATTGTGTTTGAATTGATATTCTAATCAGTAAGCGGTATTTTATTACGTTTTGGCTTTGTGACAGATATTTTAATTAGGTTAGTAATTGTTACTCAATTCATTCAATTTGTAACCCAACTAATCATTTGTAAGTCACGTGAACTAAAAATTGAATTGGTAATTGATAAATACATAATGATATTAATATCTTTAAAAAAACAGTAGAGCAGATCCCACAAAAGAATATGAAGGGAGGGAGCAAGCCTGTACATGCATACATGAGGCCTTGCAAAGTCATATTAGCAGCATAAAGAAATTCCTTCATTTATGAGCAGTGGAGATTGTCTGTATAACAAAAGGATGTTGCCACAGTTGCAATTTTTCTCTTACACAGAAGGCAGTGAATACCATGGGTTAATTTTCCTCAAGATTTAATACATGACAGATCTGGCAGCTGCAGAAAATTGGAATGTAAGCTGTGAGGAATGTCTCTAGAGAAACTGAATCTGATTTAGTTGTAAAAAACTAGTAATGCACACCACCAAGATAAAGCAAAGAAACAATAATATCGAAACACTGAGTTTCAAATACGAACTGTGCTTATGGTTTTCTAACCTTGTACAGCTGTTGTTTCATAAAATAATGAGTGATACATTACTAGACACCAAATTATTAAGCAAAAAAATTACAGAACAGTTGTAGCAATATTTAAAAAATTGAACATAAGAACTCCTAATTTATTCATGACTTACTCAAGAGAAATTGATCTTTTAAGTACCATTTTTTCATATTCCTCATAGTTAAAACAATTGTGTCGGATTTTTTCTTGACAGCATCTAAATATATGCATAGATATGTAGACAAAGAAATAATAAATAAAGTTTCATATGCAGGTGGGATAATACTTCAATGCCAACTCTTTAAAATCTCTCAGCAAATTATTTAAAATAATTTAAATTATTCTTTCTTCATCTAATGTCCCATAAACCAACAGTAAGATGCAGAGACTGTTACAGTTGGAAATAGAAAACTCAGCTTTGCTCACAGAATGATGGAATCCCTTTGCTGTTTGAGAGCATATTTCTGGGTTTGTTTCCTCCTCTGATACATGCCATTTTGCTGTGTAATTTTGTGGTTTACTGAAATACATGACAATAAACTAAACTAAAAAGATTAAAATGTTTTATTTTATAGATTTTGAAAGCTCTATCCACCTATACAAATATTACCTTGTAAATAAATTTCTAATAGAAGAAAAAAAAACACATTTCTGTTAAACTGTTCAGTACGAATAAATGGAAATAGTTCAGGAGAAATATGTTTTATTAGGCAATTTTCTGCCTGCTCTATTTCCAACTTGGATTTTACAGACAAAGCAATGACAACTGTTGTAAGACCTGTATTTCTTATTGGGGTTTAACAAATCCATTTACAAGGTTAAGAATTTACCATGCCCAACAGGAAAAAGAAGAGAAAATTAGTCAGAACCTCACTTCTGAATTTCCCAACATCCTTCTATAAGGCAGGAATATAGCCAGGGATCCACATACAGAAATAATAAACTGTTCTGCCCCTGAGACTCTAGAACGCTGGAATTAACAGGAATTTTGAAATATTCACTCATAGATTACCTATCCTTTCATTTGCTCAGGAGGATTGATTTCCATACAAAGGGCTTGGAGTGCTTATGGATCACAAGTTCATGATCTGGACTTAATTTTATAGAAACTAAGGAATTTCTCAAATAGAGAGTTAGAGAACAGACCAATTTAGGTTATATAAAATGCTGTAATTCTGTTAAATGAAGGGATAGATTTCCACATAGAGACCACTGAGGGACATTAACTTTGAATCAAAGTAGATTTTTAAGTCTTAGAAGAGTTAGTACACATATGTTGTAAGAAGGTAAGTAAGTAATTGATATAAATACGAGTGCCTTACAGCACCCAAAGGAGCCTGCTGTGCTCCAATTTTACCATGAAGCACTTGCAGTCTAGGAATAGATGCTGGATACTACAGCTGCCTACAATACCCTTTCAAGTTTTGCTTTACTTTACACTATTATTTATTTACCTCAGCCCACTCTGTGGAACCCAATAATCCAAATTCTTCTGCATCCCAGCTTGCAAAAATAATAGTTCGCTTAGGTCTCCAACCTGCAATCACATAGTTAAACTTGAAAATTAAAGTTAAAATTTGAAAGTCTAGTAAAAGATCACCACAGTTAATTGAAATTCCTTTAAAAAAATATCACTTAAGTGATATAACAGTAAAAAAAATCCTCTCTGAGTTCCTTAGAGGAACATATTATTGCAGAGGCATTTCTTCTTAATGCAATATTTTTATTCTACACAACTAAGAGGGGACTATTACATTGATGAAGAAATAAATTCAGCCAACTAAGATGCACTGCTACATATGCACCTCTTCAAGAAATTTCCATCTTTCATAATTAGAAATAAAACTTTCTGTAGAAGTGAAAAGTCAAATAACTACAACAGTTTACAGGAACAGTGTTCCTCAAAGCTGCTGTTTTCCATATCCATCATTTTATGTCTGTAATAATTGTTACCTTCCATCTTCATTTTACCAAAACTTCGTACAATTTCTTGCAGAACAGCTGCACCTGTAGTTGGATCAATACCACCAAATACCCAAGAGTCTCTGTGACCACCTAAAATAATATATCTGTCTGGAAACAAGCATACAATATCAATTCATAATTAAAAATGCACTTGGGTTACCTTTGGTGTTTCCTTTGATTGCATCCCTACTTGTATCAAACAAAATATGAAGTTCAATACCAGCGCTACAATTTTATTTTTAAGGTAATCTGCAGTCACTTACTCTACTGAAATATACAACTAAAGACAAGAAATATTTAATAGATATTTTTCCACCTAAATGTCTTTCATGTATATGACCTGCTACTAAATATCTATAGTAGAATCTTAAGGTCCCAAATCATCACTAGTTTTCTGTACTTTGCATTGTGTTTATTTTTGCAAAGGCAAAATGTATGAATGATGTAAGGAGAAGCCTACTGTAAAATGACAGGCATTATAAAAATATTCTCTGACGTGTCTTTCTAGTACTCCCATTCAAATATATTCTTGGAAACGCCAATGATAAACAGTGTAACGGGAGGGAGAGAACAACTATGAAGGATTACTTAGACTCCATATTATCTGGCTATCTAAAAAACTTTCTTACAACAAAAAGTTTCTTACAACATGAGAACAATTTCATCAAACACAAAATAAAGAAGGAATTAAAATCATCAAGCACTCGATGCTCACCTGGTTCCACGGCTCCTCTGAGGATGCCAATGACGTTGTAAATTCGTGTTATTTTATTACTTGTATGAACATGCATTCTTACTTTTCTGAAATGAAAAGCAGTATGGAGTAACCATTTCTGACTGAGAAGTCAATAAAAATCCAATGCTAATAACATATAAGCCAAAAAGTTTGTGCTTCTGTTCTGCTTTGTGTATTCAGCACTAATCTGATGTGTGTTCATTTGTCTCAGTGTCCCATTTTTTATTTCAGCTTGACCTGCTGTGCTGACAGCAGAAACAACCCTATGAAGTGGGCCAATCTATAAATTTGCAAATATTTACAGAATTTATTGAATTTTTATTTATGGGAATCAATTAGACAATTGGGTACTAGAGGAGTAAACTGAAAAGTATGCACAGTAATTAAAAATATATTTATTTTATATTTTGATCAAACTTATAGTTGTGGATATACATATTTTTATAGAGAATACATTTCGGTGTATTCCACAATTCCATTAATAATGTGGGGAAAAGGTCATTAGGAATATTCATCCAGGAATAAATTGAAATCTCTGTTTAGGACAGCAGATCTAAGTGATCAAGATTTGTCAATTGCAGAATTGTAGAATCGTTTGGGTTTGCAGGGACCTTTAAGATCATCTAGTTCCATCCTCCTAGCTGTGGACAGAGAACCTTCCACTAGAGACAGGGAACCTTCTACTAGAAGTACAGTTTCCTTTTTCCCTGTCCCTCCAGTAAAAACTCTTCATCCCTGCCCCCTCCTCCCCAGTAAATTCCACTAGTGAAATTTTATAAAAGAAAAGGAAATCTATGTTTTAGGAGAGATAAAAATAATGTAGTATTCAGCCCTCTGAATCCATAGAAGAAAGAAAGCACCAAACAATGCTTTTTTGGGGTCTGGCAAAACCCCCAGAGTTTCACATTTGAAGTTATCTTTTCAGCAGCAAATCTGCATAGCTGTCAAAATCAAAACCTACTTCAGGACAGCCACTGGATCTTTGCCCAGGAAATAACTGACACTAGTGCTTTGAGCATGCATATACTTGCACACTTTCCATGTGCAAGTGACTTTTCCTAGACTCAAAAGGTTCATTTTGATATGGAGCTACTCTGAGAAAGGACTATGTAGGATTAGACCATATTTACTAAAAATGTGACCCTCACAAGTAGGGCAATGTTAAGAAGCGCATTCAAAAATATTTCATGTGTATGAGTTTTGTGGTTGAATCACATTGTTTTCTCATTGTTGCTCTTCAAGATATTCCAAACAGCACATAATTATGTCAAATATGCTTTCTTATTTGCTTATTCCTATTTTATTCATTTTCAGCCAGTATTAAAGCAGAGCAGGAAAGAATAATGGTAAATGGAGTCTATAAAATTATATATTTAGGCATATTCTTGTATTTTGGGAGATTGGGTAGTGATAATGATATACCATTTTTACACACTGTTCAGTGTGATCTGCTACCAGTCCTAACAGAATGATACCTCATGTAAATTGAAATTATTTTTTTTGTGGAAAAGTCATAGAAAAGTGATCTTTTGCTTTATTGAATATTATTGCCAAATGCCATTGTCATGTGTCGTGGTCTGCTAACTTATCATCATTTATTATCTAATTTATTTTCAAATTCTAAAAATTATCATCAAGTGCAGCCCACTCTGAAGGAAGGAAATTTCTCCAGAATATCTCTAGATGTGTTGTTTCACAGTTTTTCTCCTGTGGGGATTTTTTTTCAATATTGTATAAACAGGTAAGTGTTAAAATAGACCTTGTAGAAGAGTTGCCTGTAAATCCTGGTCCTATGTTATAAGACACACTGAGACTTCCCTTCCAGCTGCTGTCTGGAGCTGCAGGTCCTCCCATTGCACTGTAAAGTGAAAACCAAGAACAATGCAGTTGAACAGTAGGCTAAAATCTTAAATTCCCTTAATAATTATTGCAGTAAACCCAAGGTGAGTTTACAAACTTCTGAAAAGCATTATTGCAGAAACAGGTTGCTTTGAATTTTCCACATTTTCTGAAAACATATTTACTACAAAAAAGTAGTATGAATGCAAATAACAGCAGAGATTTTACCAACTTAATATAAAAAATTTGTCTGTGCTTTTTTCAGTACTGACTTATGAGTGAGGAGGACTGATGTACACTCACCTCAATAATAGTTCTGCATCATGATATCCAATGGGGTGAACCGGGATTCTGGGAATCCCTACACCTTCATTAACTTTATACCTGAAAGTGTACTCTGAGAAACCAGAACAAAATGTCAAGTTTATAGTGTTCTTTGCAACTTTTACCAAACTCTAAACACTTTTGAACAGTGCAGCCACACAGTAGCCACAAGCATTCATCATTCTTTTCAATTCTTACATAATTTCTCAGATATTACTTCTAGGAAACCAAACTGCAATGACAGAACCACAAACCCAGTAATGCATCTGCACAATTGTGCAAAAAATGTCTCCACATTTAGATTTGCTGTCCATCCATATTATTACATCTCCTCAAAGCTGGCTATGGGAAAACCAAGCTGGTGTGTGAGGTGAAGATGGCACCTGTGCAGCTGCTTGGCAAGCTGCGGAAGACATCCCCAGATACACTTGCCTATGGTGAAGACAGGCAATATCTCTCTGAGTCTGGTGGGAGAGGCACACACAATCTATCCTGTTTTTTCAGCAGGTTGTCTTATGTACCCAACAGTGTTCACACAAGCTTTCCAGAAGCACCCCTGTATACCCATCCCATCAGCAGACAGCACTGGTAGGCATCTCAGTTCAGAAGAAGTCTTGGGATGCCAACAAGGACAAGACAAGCATATGGTGCCAATATTTGAAAGACTCCAGGTGACTGTTATTTTTACTACTAGAATTTCACTCCCTATAAGCAGGATTTTAAAGTGCTTTTCTGCTTGGAATTTATGATCAGCAAGAAAACATACCTCCAAGCAAAGCTATTAGTCCTCTTTGATGGTAGAGTATAATCTAGTTTAAACTGGTCATCCTGAGAAACACAGATATTTAAAAATGGCTAGAAATTCTCAGTCATTTCCTGCTGCTTCACAGCCTGTAAACCTGCACATCCTGCCTTTCTAAGATAATTATAGGGCTGGGATAAACAAAGAGATTTTCCTGAAGTTTTTTTCCTAAAACCTTTCCTTCCCCACCTAGGTCAAAAGCAACGAATTAAAATGGCACACAGGCAGAACTTAGTCTGCAATAGGAAAATTAACTACTAAAAATAATTTCTATCAGCTTTTTTCTCTTCATCTCTACTGAAAATAAATGAATTTCTAGTGCCATACTTTCGACACCAGTTTATAAAGTACTTGATGGCCCACATTACAGAAGTGTCACTCACCTTTGGCAGGATAACCTGGTGTTAGAGGGTCCCCAGCTCCATTCAGGTTTAATACATTCCCACGCTGGACTCCTCCACCTGGAAGGTTCCAGCCACCTGGATAAGCATCTATTCCTGGGGCACAGTAGTCAGCAGGGTCTGAATAAAGTATGATCCCTTGGGCTCCTGCTAGTACGGCATTTTTAACCTGTGAAATTATTTGCTTTTAAGAAATGTCTGCTTTTTTTTTTCTTTTTGGTCAATGCAATGATAAATCTGAATGTTACAATTTGCTTCCACGCAGACATAGTTTTAGAAGTTGTGTGTGCAGTAGAGTGAAAATGACCCTAGATTCAGCAGAAGGACAAACCACAGTGAAACACACTGTTCATTATTTGTGTCATACATTTAGTCATAGCTCAAGGCTATGAAATAAAGTACCAGATGTAAAACTGACCACTATCCTTACTGCCCCACTGTCACCCATTTTGTCAAAGTTGTTGTCTAAAGTCAGAAGATATAATTATTCAGTCTCTGTGCATCAGACTCCTTGTCAAATAATTGCTATTTCAAAATACTACAATTCTACGAATGAAAAGTATCAAAAGTCTTGGCTTTGCAAACTACTCAGTTCCCTAAACTAATCTTTTGCAAGAACTGCCTAGGCAGTTTGCAGTCATGTCAATCTCAGGAGTTTAATACGTTCACATGGTTTTATTGTTTTGGAAGTTATTTTTAGACTGCAGTCACAATGGGTGCATTGCAGGCTTCCTTCTGCTCATATATTCCAACTAAGAGCCCTCACTAACTCCCTCCAGCTCTGTCATGAACAGTGTCTGACCCACAGAGGAAAAATTAAAACACAACACTTACTTTGTTTCCTCTGAAGATCTTCCCGTATCTGGCAATGACAATCTTTCCTGTACAGTTAATTCCCATTTCACGTTCCAGCTTAAAAAAATCTTCCGTACGACCATAATTCACATAGACCAGATCTGCCTGCACAGGAAAGAAAAGCAGTGTCATGGCAACTGGTCAATCAACAGACAAAATACCCACTACCAGAAATATACTGTTTCATTCACTGTGTACGATATAGTTTTGGGGGTTTTTTGCATTTCTGCAAATTAGATCCAGTGCCCGTAAAAACAATAGCAAAAGATATCTACAATATTCTATAGGAAGCTTTGGTTTAAATGGCTGACCTTTGTATATTATCCTGCCATTAACAACAGCCTTAAAATCTGAGGCTGGAAAATAAACCAACATACTTTGCTAAATTGACAAACTTCTCTGGCCATGACAAATACCGGTATACCTTGCATACCCAAACACTCACAATTACATAATTTCATTAATTTATGCGATGCAATGTTGTCCCCGACCTGTTCCATAGTGGTTTAGCAGATTAAGTGAGGGACTTTTGTGGCCTTTGAAAGCATTCATTTAATCCAAAGTGTCTTCCAACTTGATTTATATATTGTTAATTCTACTTGTGCCTTAATCAGGTCCTCTCCATATGATTGAATAATGTGGAGGAATCTGAGATATATCCAAAATTTTTCATCAAGATAAAAACTTTTATTATGTGATTCAAAGTTCTAGCAATTTGAGAAAGCTTTGCTTCTTTAGTCATAAAAAACTTCTAACCTTTGCACAATATGTGGCCTACATGTGCTTAAGTGCTCCCTAATTAACACAAATGATTAATTAAAACTACTACAACAAATATTTTGAGAAGTTGGAGCAATCTGTCCCAGTAAACTAGGGATAAGGACATTCACAAAATATGACTTCAGCTAAGAGCACTCTTACATAATTTTTTTTTCTTACCTCTGGCACTCCTTGTGCTGAAAAAGCATTATATGGTGGTAGTATATCAGTAACATTTTCATACCCCTGTGCAGGTGGTTCAAACAATGATGTATTGAAAACCTACCAATAAACAACAGAAGTCTTTGGTCAAACACTCCAGGCACAATTTGTCCACTAAGCAATTGCTAAGTGTGCAAACTATATGATGGTTTCCATAAATCGCTAGCAAAAATTACAATTCTAACTAGCATGCATATGTTCAAACAAAAACACAGCTAGGGATCCAGAGCTGAACTTTTATAACAGAATGCAGATATGAATAGCAAAGAGACAGATCACTTGTCAGAAGATGCCCATCAGTTACTGTCTGAACCTAAGCAAAGAAGTAGCTGAAAACTGCCAAGAGTTTGTGACAGTAAAAAGACACCTAGTTCATCCATGCCATCCCAGGTATTTTTTCTGATTACTCCCACCTTTATTATTTTTATTTTCTTCAGCTCTTTGCTAGTTATGCTCCAGTTAAATGTGCTGCCTTTTATCAGTATCTATTGTAACACTCATGTTGCGTTAAGGTTCACGTCCACTTTTTGTCACCTTGTGAGATTATAAATGAGATACTGTTACAGAGTTTCTTGAAAAATTTCTTCATTCTTTCACCTCTAAGCTCATGTTATCCTGAGCAAGTATTCCTTAGTTTCCACCATGTCTCTTCATCCCTACCTTTCTCTAGCCATCCCATCTCCTCTCCTTACTCAGGCTCCTTGTCGGATTTTACATCTACTTTATTTCTCTGGGTGTTCAAAAGGGAGATGTCTATAGACTGACTAGTTCATTAGTATTTCTAACTTTAACTTAGAAGACATCATAGGGAGACAGTGGGATCAGGTTCAGAGCAAGGAAAACTAGGTAGCCCTTCATACAATCAATAGTATCTCTAAATCCTTAGCATGTTGTGGAAGCAAAAACTGTGCAGGGTTTGGATAGGTACTTGGAAGAGAAATCTAACAAGGGTCACTGACTGGATAAATACTTGGAAAAGAGGCCTAATGAGGATTCTTTAAGAGACTAATTACAGCACATTCAGAGAACGCCTGAGCTGAACACAGCTAGACACTGGAAGAATTGCATGCCTGAAATACATTTCTTTGTTTTAAGCAGCCTCGTGCATCCACTTAAGGCTGTTTATGGAAACAGGATATTGGCCTAGATGTATCCTCAAGCTGAACCCTTCTAACACCTTATGGTCTACTGGTGTTAATTGCAGCCTCTCCACACATCCTCTCTCCTCTGTACAAGGTACTGAGATTACAGTCACTCTGCTATGTTACTGCATAGCCTGGAATACCATTTCTAAATATGAGTAGCCTTTGCACTGGACTTTTTATTGTAATATGTAATTCATGCTGAGCTGAATGGATGGGCAAAGAGAGAAAGAACTGTTTTTTAAAGGAGTCTTACATAAATACAGTTTTGTCATTAAAAAGATCACCTCATTCCCTTGATCATCAATTACTGAGATGTAGTTTGGCTGCTTTTCATTTGGGTATGAAAGAAGCACATCATAATGAACAAGTTCAGCTGAATCCAATCCAAATTCTTTCCACCGGCCTTGAATTTGTTTGGCAAGAATAAGATTCTGTTCAGTTCCTGCGAGATGAGGCAATCTAGTAAATGAGCTAGAATAAAACAGAAAACTGCTAGTAAGCAGGAAATTCAGAGAGACACAATAGTGAACTAGGATCAGTGCATATAAAGCTAATCCTCAAGCCACATTGGACTGTAAGGTCTTAAGGTTAGAGCTATATAACATGATTGTTTTTCAGAGTCTGCATCGGGACAAATACAAAATGTAGTCAGAGAAGAGGATCTCTCCTGAGGCCTTAAGTTAAGTCAGTTGAACTTCTCTTTGCATAACAGAATTAGCCACATGTACACATAAGCAATGAAAATCAGTATCGAAGACATTCAGCAAAAGAATATGAGCAGTATGCAAGGAGCATAAATAAATTTAGGAAAACTACACATTCAGAAAGGAGCCTTCCAAATAATTTTGGTATCTGATGATCTATTTGTACACTATTGGCATAATGTGTCCTGATGTCCTAATAAGTTTAACTTGAAAATCATTATATCAAATTATCTGCACAGATTTGCTTTTTTTTTTTTAATCAAAAGCCTGAATAATTAAATCCTTCTTAATAATACTTACCTCCATATCAGATATAATTCATAACAGTGATAAATAGTCAGAAATAGTATCCAGTCCCTCTGGGCTACCCTACAGAAATCTGTCTGCAATTTGTTTGGTCCACTGGACAAGTAAGCTGTGATGAAAGCTCATCAGTCAGCCAGGTACTCAGCATGAGCTTCCAATTCCCAACACACTACTTGTCAATGGCTGCCCCACAGATGTCAGATACCATCAATTACCATTAACTTGTCGTAGCAAATACCATGATTAGTATCACTTCAACCTGTCATTTCAGACTGTTTTCAACCCATGTAAAAGCGTGTTCTTTGGCATGTACTTCCTCAGCTTCCAAAGGGGAATGTTGTGGGAGATGATGTTCAAAACCTTCCTTACAGAAGGCAATCATACTGATGATATACACAAAAAGTAAATAAATGCTGACTGTTCCTAACTATATTTCTGTCCCCCACGTGTTTGGAAATTCCAGAAGGATGTTCAGTCACCTTCCAGGGATTGAAGCTAACCAGCCCACGGTCTCTCCAGGTTGTCCTCACTTAAAGATGGGCATAACATCAGCCATTTTCAGCCACCTGGGACCTCTTTCAATCATCAGAACTTCTCACCTACAGCAATATAACATCAAGGTCTTTCACATGAATCCCACCTGGCCCCTAGATTTGAATACATCTAGATTCTCTAAGTAGACCACAGCTCTCTGCTGTTGTCTTTCCCTCTCTTTAAACTGGATGTGTATGCACCAAGATTTGGAAGCAACCTTTGCCAAAACTTGTTGCCTGTTTTCTTCTTGCACTTTAATTCTCTCAAGTATTTTAAGTACCATTTAATTCCATAAGTAGTCTAAATACTATATATGGTGTCAAGGAAAATATACTGGACAACACATGATGCTTTTGTTTCAATTTTTCTAAACAGTTTAATCCTTTTCAGAGCTATATGAAGCTTTTCAGAGCTTCAATGCTAAGACTAAAGTGGATGTTTTATGAGACTCAGTTTATTTTCCCCACTTGATAAAAGCAAATTTAGTAGTCTGAAAAACTAAGAATATGGATCAAAATTCCCAAGTTCACTTTTTTAATACTTTCTGGCAAAATTTTTGGATAGTGCATTAATACAATTTTTCTGCAGTTCCTTATTTTTATTTGAATTTAGGCAAAAAACCCCAACCCAACCAGTATGAAACACTTGGCCCATCATCAAAGCAAGCAGACACATGAGATACCATTAATATCCTGTGGCCAAGAGACTTCAGCATAATTGCAGAGCTATTTCATGCTGTCATCAACCTCTATGTTGCCTAGATTCTCACTCAAACATAATTTTCAGGAAGTCTCCAATCTACTGAAAGCAATGAATACAAAATAAGATAAGGCCTATAGACTTAAAAAGCTAATTGATGTTAGAAATTAAACCTTTTGGGTTTAGCATCAAACTTGTCAGTAATCCTTTCATGTTCATGATGCAGCTGCTGACCTACATGCTAAATACCAACATTTTACTAACCAGAGTTATTTACTTTTCATGTGAATATATTTGTTCCTCTGTAGAAGATATAAATATACACAATAATGATTTTTTTTTAAATTTTCAATGGAATGCACAGCAAAACAAAAGGATACTCTTATATCCTTAGCATTTTAGATGCTTTGAAAGAACTGCATGGATGCACTAGGATGCAAAAAAGTATATTTACTAACAATTACATCATATGAGACTTAACCAACCATACACACACACTGACCATGGACAGAAGATAGGGGATAATGGGGTGTCCAAGCACCCAACTAACAGCATATTATCCAATATGGCCACACTAAAGGAATTATCAGTTGTAAGCATACATGCAACTCAGTGCCTTGCAAATTTGTACCATTAATTTTTAATATATTAATTTTCTACTTAGACTAGCTGCTCAAAGTGAAAGTTTAAGGAGACACTGAACAGATGATCAATCAAATGTAATTCATAGTAATCAGCATATCCCAAATAGAGTAAAATCGTCTTGCTCTGAGAGAAAGCAAAGTTATCTGATGTAAAAGCTTCAGTCACTTGCAAGGAAAAAACAGACACACTTTATTAAATCAAGAAGATGAAAAATCATTATAAAAAAGACTGGTAAGCACTGGCAGTAACATAGCTTGGGTGAAGTAGACTTGACAGTACAAGCACTTCAAAAACTTCAAAAATTGGGAGAAGAGGAACAGAAGAGTTGTGAGCCTCTCCCTTCTCCTTCCCTCAGACATTCTGGATAAACTAAATATTTCCAAAGCATTTTAACAGCTCTGATTTCATTGGCCCTTCCTGGGAGCTTATGTTATCACTTTTTTGTGACTGATAAAATTGTTCAAAAAACAAGATGCACACAGCTTACCGAAGGAAGTGCTTGATATTCTCTGCTTTCATTTCAGCCACAAGTTTCTGTCTCACATTTTGGTAGACAACTGAAGAGTTGAGGGTTTTTTCAGACAGTTTTGTCAACCATCCTGAAACACATTTGAAAAGCTTCCTACTTAGCAAGAATGCCAGTCCTCACATGTATGAGCCTTTGAGCAACACGAAGTATTGAACTGTTAAAACCACATGGATGAACAGGGCTTAGAGTATCCTCTGTCAGTGTCTGCCAGCTCAGAGAAGTAGAGCAGAAAAGTAAAATGTATTTCATTGTTTGAATTGCCTAAAACATGACAAAAGACTACAGCCTAAATTGCTGGTAAATCCCCTTTACTTGCCTTTTTAAGACAGACTCATCTCTCATTAATTTTAACCATAGTTTAAATTCTCAATTAACTGTTTGCAGCGTGAGGTTTGAACTCCTGATACTCGTGATGAAATTCCCTTATTTAATTTATTTGTATATCTTAAAATACATGTGTAGGCATATTTAAAGTGAAGGCCTAGGACTCAATAGACACCCTGCTAGCATTATAATAGTTACAGACTTGGGGTTAGACTATTTATTAATTAAAGGAATAAAGTTAACTGTGATCCAAGTCAGTTTTAGAATGTTAAATATTTATTCAGTAGCCATAAATGGTTGTAGGAGAAGGTATATAAACTGTATTAATTTGTCTTAAGCAGAAAACAACAAAACAAACAACAAAACAAAATCCTTTTATTATTATAGGTAGACAATCCAAAAATGGGAAAACTTTCATAAGAAAGACAAACACCTGTGATGTCACATGCACAATATGTGTGACCCCTTAGACTTAAATGCAACTGTAGTAACACTCCAAACATAACAGTGATACTGGATTAGACCAAAGGTCCATCTTGCCCAGTATCCTGTTTTGGAGCATGGTCAAAATATGATGTTCAGGGAAATGTATAAGAATAGCACAAGCACCAGAAATTTGCAGCTCAGGGATCTCCTAAATCAAACTAACGTTTTGTATATTTAATAGCCCCCATGGATTTTTCTTTCATGCTTCAGCCTTAAGTGTGTGCTACGATACAAGTTTAAAAATGACATGCAATTTTAGATTTAAAATCAAATGCTGAAAGTGACTTCATAAAAAAATCTCATGTTCTAGTAAAGTTCATTGTGCACGATGAAAAACTTCAGTAACTCCACTCTTGGCTGCCAGTTAAAATCCTCCTCCTCTACATTCTACCCTTAGTTTCTAAAATAGCAACTGAATCGGAGCATTTAAATAGATCTTCAGTAAAAAATCAGGAAATACAATTAAAAAAAAAATGGAGATCTGACAACCACTGAAGTCTCGAACTCTTCTATTAATCTTTCCTCTTTCAGCGCCTGGCTGCTGGTTTCGTAAGCTGTCAGTTCACCAGGGCTCGCCGTGAGCTGAAGCACGCAGCCATTCTATTCCTCGCTCCCTAAAGACCAAAACTGCTAGAGCGAGCAACTTCTTAGAAAAGCAGTGGGATGAGCACATTATAATGTACCTAAAAAGCAGTATAATCTCCCTGATGGTGAGTTAATCACAACAGGGGTTGCACTTAAGTATGTGCAGGGGGCAAAAGCTGGGGGGTGAGCCCCTGGTTCTCTGTACTCACCTGTAAGAAAGCCCAGCAAGAAACAGCCAAGCATCCCAGGGCAGAGGAGCCATGTGCAGAGGGTGGTCTTGCTCCTGCTCCTGGCCATAGGGGCATCACTGGCCGGCAGCTTGGCAGGCTGTGAGGAGGGCAGGCAAGCAGCTGCCTTCCTCCTCCTCTGTCCCCTCCTCCTCTTTCCCCCTGCAGCCCCAGGGCTGTCCCTGGCTTCTGTGTTTCTCAGCTCTCATGCTGCCTAATCATCCTTAACCCAGGATGATGATGATACAATTTTCTGAGAGCGATAAAACACTTCCATTTCTGAGTCTTACCCCACAAAACAGCTGCAGTCTATTTCTGTGACAGATATGTATCTAGGCTGTGCACCAAGCACTTTACAAGTACTATTTAAAAGGCTAATTTCTATTAATTATCAGGACTTCCTGGTTTTGAAAGTTCTTGGTTTAGGCTTGATCACAATATGTTCCAGTGGAAGTGGCCAAGAGATGAAAATAAGGGAAAACTTGTTTCCTCTTTACCAATGAAGCACTGAATTGCTTCCTTTTGTAATCCATAGTGACATTAATCCTTGGCAAGTGATGAATACTTAGAGCAGCTAAGAATACAATTTAGATTAGCCAGTGAGGACACTTCCAGGCATCATCCAATTTCCAACTGGGAAAAGTTGCAAAATTATTTTCTATATTCTCTAACTTTTTACACTTAAGACTTCAGGGTTCTTAAGATCAAGTTTTCTTAGTCTAATTCAGTCAAATCCATCAGTATCTCATGCAAAAGGTCACAACTTCAGCCTAGGGAATAGTCAAAAAATATGTTCATAGACTCATCATATTTTTGCACAAACTTACTCAGACCCTGCACATCACTACCTGCTGGTGAGTTCCTGCATGGCTATATGGAAGACAAGACTGATCTTTCTGGAACTGAGAAACTGCCCATTTGAGACCAGTTATATGGCTGAAGGTAGGAAAGCTTTACTGGGAGCCAGGAACGCTCCAAGTTCCTACTACTCACTCCCAAAGTCCAAAGTAGATACATTTTGTGAAAGAAATATCAGTACTCTGAGTATCAAAACTCTCTTAAACACATTAGGTTGAGCTGAAAATATTCAGAAAAAGCTGAAAAGGCTAGTTAATATCCTAATTGCTTCACTACGGCTTTCCAGAGAATAAGGACTTGGGTATTCTGCACCAGTGATAGCCACCATCTCAAGCACAGGCTGGATGTCTTTGTTCGAATTATAGGCACGTCCAGTTTCGTGATTTTTTTCCCTGTCATTTCCCAACTGCTCATAAGCCATCACAAATTCTGAACAGCAATGACATTTCACACCAGCATCTCAGTTGGCATATACAAACCAGATGGAATTCCACCTACAGAATTCATAAAGAATGAGCATATTGATGTATTATTAGCATTTATATAGCACCGCAGGTGTAGGACTGGCACATAATAGACAGTAAAACGACAAGGGCTTTTGGAAATTGATAAAATTTAGACCTCACATGATAACATCAGAGGAAGAAGGTAAGAATAGCAACAGTGAGAATGTTTGAAATGCATTTATTTCTATGCCTACATCTTTTTAAAGTGACAAGGGCATTAGCAATGCTGAGGTTGAATAACAGCAGCAACAAAGTGGTTTCTACCACTTAAAATACAGTACTAATATTAGTTATTAGTTGTGACATGTTCTTACATGCCATGGATTGGCCACAGGTGGAGTATATTATGTTACAGTTAAATACAATATAACATACAGTGTAAATCTGTCTTCAACCACATACCCTCCACAAAGGAGAGGGGCAGGAAATAAGATGACAAAGGTCATGGGTTGAAATAAAGACAAGGACATTGCTTGTCAATTACCATTATAAGCAAATCAGATTCCATTTAGGGATAAATAATTTAATTTACTACAAATTAAAATAGACTTGGATAGTGAGAAACAATGACAAAAATTAAAACAACATCTTCTCCCACACTGCCTCCATTTTTTTTTAGCTTAACCTTCACTCCCAACTCCTCTATACCATAGAGTTGCCATATGTGACTGTCACGTGAAAAGGGGAGATTTCCTTGACCCTTACTGTGGGGAGTTTTTCTTGACTCTCAGTGTTTTATTCATCTGTCAGTGCCCCAGGAAAGCTGAGACCCTTGTGGTCAACTAGTCTGTCAGTGTCCCATCATGGGGACCCTTCACTGAATAGTCCTGCTGGATTGGAGGGCGGTTTGACTGACTTATTCAGGGAAATACACCAACAGCATAAGGGAGACCCCTCAGTGGGTCTTCCCACCTTATTCAAGTGTGTTACCCACTGCTGGCAGCTGCCAGCACCTGTGAAGGACTCATGCTGACGGGTTACGGAATTACACTCTTTATTAGTACAAAATCGTGACAGGTTATGGTTTGAAGACTGCCGGTGATATTACCTGAATGCAAGAATGTATTCAAAGCAATACAAAGACAAGCCTTAATCCCAAATAAAAGTATTCAGTGCACATAGAGTGTGGTTCTTACCTGATAGGCGTCCCTATGGCAGAGAAAACAGGTTTGCCCATCGACTGATCTCAGAAGTTACAATGGAGTCTTCCCTTCCCTAACTTCTTCCCTATTCTTGACTTACTTTTATACTATTTCTTGATGTTTAGGTGGAACTTGAGTGACTATAGTCATAAATACTTTTGTTACTGATTTATGTAAAATTCTCTCGTTTTGCTTCTAAAGATACAGTTAAAAGAATATAGGATGCATGCCCAGTGGCCATATCTTGCAGGCGGGTAACTTTGGGATGGAGATGTGTGTTAACACCACTA